TGAATGATAGAAAGGAAAAGGAAAAGAGAAGGAAAGAGAAAGGGAGGGAACGAGGAGGGAAAGGAAATAAAATTATGTGAATGATAGGGAAGGGAAGGAAATTAAAGAAATAGAAAAGAAGTGAATGAGAGAAAAATGGGAGAAAAGAGCGAAAAGGGAAATGGAAGAGTAGGGATAGGAGAAGAAGAAGAGATAGCGATGAAGGAAAAAAAACGGGGAATACTGACGAAAAGAACAGAAATAACACAAAGGATAAACATCAAAAGAAAAGAACATCACATAACGCGACGACTGAAGAATTCTGACAGGAAAGTCTGAAGTGCATTAGAGAAAATGAGATTAAAGAAAGAAAAGAAGAAAAAAAGTACAAAGCAAATGGAATCCGAAAGACGTATCTCAGAAGGAAAACAAAAACTAGAGGGACAGATCGATCCAGGCAGACTAAAAGAGCAAAGAAAAAGAAAAATGATAAAGAAAGAGAAAGATAGGAGGAACAGAGATAAAAAAAAAATGAGAGGAGAGGGGAGAGGAAGCGAAAGAAAGGTAATATTGGCACTAAACCCCTTTTATATTTACTCTCGTTCTTCTTTCGTCTCCTTTCTCTTCCAGCATCGCAAAAAGGGGTGAATGAAGTAACTGATGTTTGAATGAACTCAGGGGATGGATGGAGCAGGTGAGGAGGGCAGAGAGCGAATGAAAATGGTCTGCTTTTCTATTCGCGAATGTGTGAGCTCGAGCAGTCACACACATGCACATCCATATACATACAGGTATAGACATTATCATACAACACACACATGTACATAAACACTAATTCGAATACAAACACACACAGACATACACAGAAACAAGCAATAATGCGGACACAGATACAAACATAAAAATGCACATAGACAAACAAACATACATTCACACACACAAACACACGCACACATATACTCACACAGGCAAACAAACACACACAAACGCGCACACACACACATATACTCACACAGACAAGCAAACGCACACATACACACATACACACAGACAAACAAACAAACACACACACATATACACTCACACAGACAAGCAAACACACACAAACGCACACATACACACACACACACACACAAACAAACAAACACACACACACAAATAAAGCACACCTCGGTTGAACCTGATAAATATACCGCTCTAGTAACAGCTCTATTTGGTCAAATTGTTGACTGAAGACAAAGCTAATTTTTAAAAATGTTATCATGAGCTTATCAAATCTAAAATCTCTCATCTTACTGCGACATACATAATATTATTCTTACAGATGTGATAAGATAAGCTTGAATTATCAGCTAGAAGCCGGGAGGCGGATGTGAGAGGGACAGGTAAAGATAACAATGTGAATGCTGCTCAATGTACCAGAAAATAAATGTAGTCATTGGACTGTTCTGTAGAAGAGAAAGGCGGAAGAGTATACTTCAGCAGAACAAAAATGGCAATATTCAAGTTAATAATTCTTAGAGAGCAATTACTAGGAAATGGCAAGATATCTATCACACGCTCGTCCGGGTCTTATCTTCCTCGCAACGTAATCCTGCAAATCCCTCCCGAGACAGCGCCCCTCGCGTGCCACGGGCAGCGTCGGGACTCACCTGGACTTGCTTCTGGAGGTGCGCGGCGTCCGGGGCGTCCGCGGCGTCACCATCACCTCCGAGGACGAGCTGGAGTGAAGGGCGGACTCGAGGCGGTCGGCCGCGTCGCTCACGCCCGCGTCCTCGTACACGCCGCTGCCGTCCATGGGCGCCCCACTCAAGCTGGTCGCCGGTTCCTCCCTCCCGCCGCCGCCGCCGCCGCGCCCTCCTGAGCCCGAGAGGGACGTCTGGCGCGACGCGGCGTCCTGCGCCTGGGCCGCGCCGGGGACGCCATCGCCCGCCCCCTGCCCCGTGTCCCTGGGGATGAGGGGCGTGGACTGGCTCATCTCGGGGGGGAAGGACGAGGTGGGCGTGGTGGGGGTGGTCCTCCGGCCGGGGCTCGAGGCGCGGCGTCTGGAGCCGCTCCTGCTCCTGCTGGGGGTGCGCGCCGGCTGATCCAGCAGGAAGTCCACGGAGCCCCTGACGGGTGTCTCGTCGTGGGAGCGCGCAGGCCGCGAGGGCCGCGGGGGGGTCTCTGGCGGGGCTGGCTTCGCGCCCGGGGTGGGCGGCTTTTGCCCCCGCGGCGCCGTGCCCGCGGCGGCGTGCAGGCAACCCACGGGCGTGCGGTCGTGACTGCCGTAGACGCGCCTGATGAAGGCGCCCGGCGGGTGGGCGGGCAGGGCGCAATCTGGCTCCGAGCGGCCCTGGGGAGGGGCGGGGCCCACGGGGGACCGCAATGGCTGCGTCGGCGGCGTGGGCTCGACGGGCGCCTCGGGGCCGTCGCGAGGCCACCAGCGGCCCGCCTCCCCCGCGCTGCTGCCGAAGGCCAGCTCGACGGGCGACATCGCCTCCGTGTCGAGGCCGCCGTTGTAGAGCGCCTCGCCCGCGCC